GAGCATCAGCAGCTCACCATTTTCTCCAGTTCTGCTTTTAATGCTGTTGGCAACAACCCTCAGGTGGGCCTTCCCCACCCAGAACCTGGATGATTCAGTTCAGCTGGGTGTTACAAGTGGCCCATTAGTTAATCCACTACCGTGGGAGACCCAGTAAAGGAGCCTGTGCCGGGGAATTCAATAGCTGTTAGAAAACAAAAGATTTCTGGACTGGAAAAAAATGGATTTTTTTTGGTAGCAATTTCCTGTGCAGAAATCACAAGGAGACCACCTTTAAAAACACAGATTTCCCAGTATTCTAATTTAATAGAATTTTCAGTCAATATCCTAGATAAGCCAGTGTGGTTGGCCCCATTCTTTGAATAACTGTTCTACAGTCAACTGGGATCTTAAAAAATGGAAATGAGCCAGTTAACCAGCATCACCTTCTGGAAGTGTCCCCAGGCACTTGAAAAACATTTGTCACCTACACCTCTTTAATGGGGCTGGGGTTGCTGTAGTGGACCACAAATAGCAACTGTGGAAGAGGCTGTTCTTGATGAACTCTGGGCTTGCTAAGTTTTCCTGATGAGAAGAAAAACAGGTACAAAGTGAAAATAACTCATGGGCTTTGGAGGCTTAGGTATCAGGGGCCGCTCTCACGGAAACGGCGGGTGAGGGTGGGCTCAAATTCACTCGCACAGATTTGCAAGAACCAGCTGCTAAACTTCCAGGAACCTGTTAGCCAGTGGCTAAATGTCACCAGCATTAAAAATGAAATGGTAGAAACTGGGTGTGGTGTGCACGCCTGTAAACCCAGCACTGGGAGGCTGAGGAGGCAGGAAGATCATTGGCAAATGTGAGACCATCCTGGGCTACAAAGTGAGCTCAAGGTCAGCCTGAACTGCATGAGATCTTTTTTTTTTTTTTTTTTTTTGTCTTTTGTCTTTTTCCTTATAATCGGTACCAGGGATCGAATTCACGACTGCCTGCTTGCAAGGCAGGCACTTATGCCGCTGAGCTAAATCCCCAGCCCCGAGACCTTTCCTTAAAAAACAAACAAACAAACAAAAATTAAATGGTAGGGGCTCGGTGGTAGAGCACCTGTTTGCCATTGTAAGAGGCCTTGGGTTCAATCGCCACCACTGGGGGGGGGGGGGTTCGGGGGAAGAAAAACAAAAAAGAAAAGAAACTCAGGAGCGAAGCCGGCAGTGAGGAACACCACAGCGCAAGCTACGCGAAGAGCAGAGAAAACCTGGTACATTCTTCCTCCAGACAGGAGTGTGGGCAGAATGCACAGGGCGGAGGGCAGAGGCGTGGCATCTTGAGCCAACCTCTTTGCAACCATATATTCGCCAAGTTCCCTCTGAACTTGGCTGCCCAAAGCAGAAGTCGCAGGAAGAGACTGGGAAGTTCTCAAAGCTGAACTGGTTGTCAGATCTATGCCAAACGGTGAGCTTTATCAATGGCGCCACCTAGTGTCGAAGACCAGACTGAGCCAAAGAGGCTGGATCAGAAAAGCGTCTCCGCGGTGGAAGCACACTGAGGTCCACGGTTTCTTCTTCAGTCCGTTCCTCTTATTTTCTTCCCATGTTAACTTTCCCCTACTTTTTCTTTTTCTTTCTTTCTTTTTTTTTTGTCTTTTTCATTTTTATCGGTACCAGGGATCGCACTCACGACTGCCTGCTTGCAAGGCAGGTGCTTATGCCGCTGAGCTAAATCCCCAGCCCCTCCCCTACTTTTTCAGTCTCATTTTATCTGGTCTCACAACAAAAATAACCACTCATTTTTTTTTTTTTTTCTTGAGACAGGGTCTTCCAATGTAGTTCCTATGTAGTTCAGGGTCTTCCTTTGAGGCAGTGAATTCGAAGTGACCCTCCTGCCTCAGTTTCTCAAATGCTGGGAGCACAGGAGTGCTCCACCGTGCCCAGAAAAACTGTTATGATTGCTGTTATTATCCCTCACTCCCGTCTTGTTTGTAGGCAGAAATGGATAATGCTGAGAGTTGAGTGAAGATCAGTCGTGGCCCCTGTTAGCTATAATAATTTGGAATGAATTTGCTTGGGAAATTGTAAATTTTTCCTCAGTGGATCATATGAATTGAATGTTTCCCTGTCTTCACAACATACCCTTGTCATCTGTAGCACGGTCAGTGAAGTACTGTTATTTCTTTTGCAGCACTGGGAAATTGAACCCAGGGCCTTTGCACTACATCTTCATCCCTTTTTATTTTTATTTTCTAAATTTGAGACAGGGTCTCACCACGTCTCTAAGTTGCCCAGACTGCCTTGCACTTGCAATCCTGTCTCGGCCTCCCCGGTGCCGGGGTTCGAAGTGTGTGCACGCACCTGGCTGCTGACGTGTACCTTGTTAGCGTGTTGTAGCTCAACAATGCAATTCACTTCCAAGCCTCATTTCTGGGAGCTTCTGTTTTCTGTGGGGAAAGGGTACATTTTATTTTGAGCACCAGTGTTAGTCACTCAATTTAAAGGGAGTAACTGTTGGTGGTTGAATTTCTTTTTTTTGTTTTGGTTGGTACCAGGGATTGAACTCGCGACTCGGGCTTACAAGGCAGGTGCTTATGCCGCTGAGCTAAATCCCCAGGCCCTGATGGTTGATTTTCAAGGCTGAAGATGAAGGATCTTCTAGACATGGGAGGAAAATCCTATGTCTAATTCCTATTTGAGATTTCCTTTGCATCTAGTGCGTTGGAGAAGTAATTCGGGAGTCACCAGTGACAACTTAAATCCTTTGGCTAGTGGTTGGCCGCAAGGTCTTATTCCAGTGCTGACAGTTTCCATGTTTTCGTTGTGGATAACTAATGCTACCTGGGGATTTCGGATATTTTGAGACAGAAGACTAGCAAAGAGTAAACGCCGCCACCTTCTCCCGTGAGGGTGCCAGGCGAAGGAAGTTAAGCTGCTGTCCGGCTTTGGAGACAGACCCGGCCTGGGGGGCAGACTTTTTCAGTGCTCTCACATAAATCAAGTCACTTAGCCATCGTTTGAGCCTGCTGGGCTGTACGAACGAAGGCCCTGAGAATACGCAGACTGCAAAGGCGGGGCCCCTGTGCTCACACGCGGTGGCGGCAATGTGGCCTTGGAAATGTGCCCAAGTGGCTCCACAGGCTGGAAAGTATTTCTATTAGAAATAGAAGGTCGGGGAGAAAAAAAAAAAAAAAAGAAACAGAAGGCTCTGTTAGGAAGGTCAAAGTCTGTCCTGCTGACTGGCAGGTCAAACAATTAGAGGTAAGGAGGCCTGGTGTCCTCTTAGCTGCTCAGTGAAACCAGTTTCATTAAACCGTAAAGAGCTTCAAATCCCGTGGCCTGGAGCATTTTGTAGAGGAAAACTTTTCTCTCCCCTCTCAGCATTGTGGGCTGGATCCAGGGTGCATTGAATGCCATTCCCAGCCCTTTGCATTCCTATTGTGACAGGTCTTGCTAAGTTGGGGCTGGCCTCAAACTCATGATCCTCCTGTCTCTCCCTCACACCCCAACCCCTAGACTGTAGCTGGGTTTCAGGCCTGAGCCACCACTCCTGGCCCTGGGAAAGCTTTTTAACTCAAATTACAGGCTGATTAACAAAGCAGACCTCGGGGCTGGGGATTTAGCTCAGCGGCATAAGTACCTGCCTTGCAAGCAGGCGGTCTGAGTTCGATCCCCGGTACCAGAAAAAATTAAAATCCTTTGGGGATTTAATTCAGGGGTGTACTCATTCCCTGGACCCTTAGATTTGAGGCCACTTTGAGATAACCTGTGGAGTGTACCCAAGAGTTCTGAAGGAGGTTTTAGCAGCTCAGGAAAGGAAAGGAGGGCTGTGGATTTAGCTCAGTGGCCTAAGTGCCTGCCTGGCAAGCGTGAGGTAGAGTTCAATCCCAGGTACCAAAAAAACCTCAAAAATGAATCTTCAGGCAGTACCATGTGTCAACGTGGACCTGTGCATGCACTTAGGAAAACCTTATTCTCAGCAACATCCGTCACCCTCCTACTGAAGACCTGCATACATGAAACTGTTCCAGGGCCTTCAGAGGTTACCTTCGGCCTCCCACTGCACAGGGGAGGCATCGAGGCACAAACTGCCATCTGGGGTTTCCAGGGTCACCAGAGCTCCCTTCACTGTGCAGGGTGCCTGCTTTCATCTCATCTCAGGGATGAGACCCTGCCTTTCATGAAAGATACTGAATCTTTTTGCTTTCTTGAGACAGGGTCTCTTTGTAGTCCAGGCTGGCGTTTTACTGAGGGATCCTCCTGCCTCGGCCTCCTGAAGGGGGATAACAAGTTTGTGTGAATAGGGCTAATACCAAATCTAAAGGATTCTTCAGGGCAGCCTCAATGAAAGGTCATCTAGCTTGCTTCTGAAAGCAAGAGATAACTCTCCCAAAGTCACAAGCCTCTAGAACATAGGCTTAAAAACCAAATCGTTTTAGTTGGGGGTGTCTGTGGGCAGCATATAGAGCTAGATCGAGAAGCTAAGGCTGCAGGTCCAGAATGTCGCATAGGGCTCAAGACCTGAGTAGTGTCAGAACCCAAAGGACAAGGCCGACAATGGGAGGGGTCCATACATTCCATTTAGCAATTCTGCCAACTCCCACAGAGACCCCAAGAATCTTTCAGGATGGGGAAGATTCAATGCCTTTTGCCTTTTTATCGGTACCGGGATCGAACTCAGTACAACTGTCTGCTTGCAAGGCAGGCACTTATACCGCTGAGCTAAATCCCCAGCCCCGATTCAATGCCTTTTTTTGGAGGAAGGGTCTCACTTTGTAGTGCAGGCTGGCCTCAAACTCTTGGGAGATCCTCCTGCCTCAGCCTCCCAAGCGTTGGGATTATAGGTCTGCACCACCACGCCTGACTTCAGTGCTTGGTTTTATAGATAAAAAGGATGAAGAATATCAAACGCCGCTTTGCTTTTCTTACACAATCTGGAGCCTGAGCCACCACATTCCCCACATCCCTTGACTGCTGTGTACTGCAGAGCACTCATCATAACAGCTTTTTAAGAAAACGCTCAAATACACACTATTTAAGTTATAAGATTTTAATTTACAAGTTTAAAAAGCTACTTTTTGGTTGTTTTTTTCTTGCTTCATTTGGAGACAGCATCTTACTTTGTCATGCAGTCTGGCCTGAACTCACTGCAGAGCCCAGGCCGACCCTCCAGCTTGTCAATTTTCCACCTCAGCCCCCACGCCTGGATGCATGTGTTTTTTGTTTTGTTTTGTTTTTTGTCTTTTTCTTTTTTATCGGTACCGGGGATTGAACTCACGACCGCCTGCTTGCAAAGGCAGGCGCTTATGCCGCTGAGCTAAACCCCCAGCCCTTACTTCTTCTCTTTTTTCTCTTCCTTCTTCACATCACTCTTTTCCTTCTCTTTCTCTTTGTCATCTTTCCTATCCTTCTTGCTCTCTTCTTTCTCCTGTCCCTCCTTCTTCTCCGCGTCCCTGTTGGCGATCTTGTTGTTGATGAGGTTGTGCAGGGCGACCACAGAGCGGATCAGAGAGGCCAAGTACACCACCACCATCTGGTCGTTGGTCTTCAGGTAGAAGGCCTTGACGAACTCCTGCAGGCTGACGTCGGGCAGCAGGTTGAAGACGTCCTGCAGCTGGTAGATGATCTGGTGGTTGATGGGCAGCTTGCCTGTGGCCACTTTTTCCAGGTAGCTCCGGATGTCCAGCAGCTTGGAGTTCAGTCCCTTCAGGCCATGGACCTGGTTTGTGATCCGCTGGGAGAGGGTGCCCACGGTAGTGTCCTTGATGTCTCTGTAATGACCCACAACAAAGGGAGGAAGAGGCGTCAGCAACTGTGTTGCCACACAGCTTCTCCTATCCTAACGCCTGGCTTTGCAGGGAGGGACAGCTTTTCTCAGGATAAACATCACTTCTTTTTGGGATGTGCTGGGGACTGAACCCAGGACCTCATGTGCTCCAGGACAGCGCTCTACCACTGAGCTCCACCCTCAGCCCTAAAATGTAACTTCTCCAGTTGATACAGCTGGGTATAAATCATTTCAATTTTATTTTTATTTGGGGGCCCACATTTTGTTTGTCTCACGACAGTCCAAAAGATTATAAAACAAAGCTAAAGTGAAACTTCAGGAGCTCCTTAGCTGGGCGTGGCGCCACACACCTGTTGGCCCAGCACTGGTGAGGACAGAGGACAAGTCTACACAGTGAGGTCCTGTCTCAAAAGACCAGCGTTCTCCATCGCACTGCTCTGGTCCCCATGAGGGACGGTGCATTCTCTACCTGCATTTCAAAGACGTTTGAGAAGCTTACATGAGGAGTAATCTTCAGAACTGTAAGAAACCTCACTGTTTGATAGACACTATGACTTTTCTAAGGAAGGACTGCACAGACAGAGGACTCTGACACAAAACTCGTCCCAAAATGAGGATTCTCTGCAGGACTCGGTTCTGCTGCTCGGAAGGAAGGGCGCAGGCCGAGTTGACTCCTCACCTGCTCCGGCCCTGTGACAGCAACATCCTGGTTTATGGACACAGAGTGCGATACACAGAGTCACACAGGCCAATTCGCTCAATTTGTGGAGGAGCAAAGGGGCCTAGAAAAGGCCCTGTGATTTGTTCAGAATGAGAGAACCATTTGGGGACAGCTGGGAGCCAGCACCTGAACTCAGGTCCGCAGAGTGCGGCTGGGCCCATCCCTGCAGGCCACGCCAAGCCTCACCGTAACAAGTGCTCCACGCCAACCTCCTCGGCCTCCTCTGCGCCGATCTCACTGGTCACGTGCTCAAACGTTTTGGAGGTGGGAGTCCCATCCTGGGAGAAGAGGCTGAGCTAGTCACCCACTTCCCACCTGCCACGCGTCCCGCTGGCACCGTCGTCTCTTTAGCCAGTGCGTTTCAGTATGTCGTTACCCAGCGGCCCGCAGCAAGGTGGGTCAGGTCTGCCCTGAAAGCTCAGCCTGCAGAGCTCAAGTCACTGTGGCACCACTCAGTGACCAGGTCTGCTGAGGCATTATTGTTGGTTTGTCTGCATGTTGCAATGGCCACTGAACTATTTTCTGAGTTTTTTTTTTTAAAGAAAAATACTGATCTCCTCTCAAGCCCATGCTAGGGATTGATGACCAAGGACATCGCAATTGGTTTTAATGTCCTTGGTGGAAAAAACACAGGACACCAGCATCTGAGGCAAGATCATGGCAGACCATACAACTTGCAATTGTTTACTGTCCTCTGGGCCAAATGATCCCAGCACACCATGAACGATGCAGTCAGAGTAACTGGCTTCCCAGTGGTCTGAGTGAGCCAAGGGCTCCGCTGGGGTGGTGGCTCACGGGGCCAGCTGGTCAGTCTGTGATGGGATTGAGACACTGCGGAGACCCAGGGCCACAATGGCTGTGCTGCCCCCGAGAGGCCTACAAGAGCCTGTAGCCAGACTGAGGCTGGGAACAGGCAGCCGCAGGACACCGGGCAGGTGATATAACTCAGGCCGCACGCTGCTAATGCTGTCATTCTACTTTAAACAGGACAGTGGGAATGCTTTAAGGAGCTCGCACCTGCTCTGGATGCTAGGATGCTCAACCTGACAGGACGCGTGGTGAGCTTTCTAGCTACCAATTCTTTGGTTTCATAATCTAAGGTGGCAGGGTTAAAAATTAAAATCAAGTGGCACAAGATCAGGAATTAAGTCTTATTATAGGCAATAATTTTAGATCCAAGCTTTCTGGTCTAAACAAAAATAGGAAGATTGGGCTAATGATGTAAGTTGTACATGCAGGAAGTGATCCAAAATTATTCTTTTCCAAATTTGAAGGATAAGCAATACATATTTAAATCCCAAGCCAGACTTTAATCCATCTCTCAAGCTCTTTACTTTAGAAAGTTCAGACTGAACTTTTTGGTAGATATCCTAGGAATACTCCCTGTCCTGAAATTCTACTCTGGGACCAGAGGAAAGCCGCATTCTGACAACTCTTTACTCTTATGCCCAATGCAAGGCAGGCATTAAGCAATCACAGACAGGTCCTGTTATTTGGTTCTTGGCACCTCTGAGTCAACTCTCTCTGAAGGTCTAGGGTCTGGTCTGCAGGGCTGAAGTCTCTGGGGAGAGGAGACTGCCACAGGGAAGGTGCAGCAGAGGCCACCGCACAGGTGAGGATGGAGCTCAGCAGACTGCGTTCCTTGCTGCAGATGCCTCTGAGCTATCATCCGACTACTGGAGGCTTCAGTTTCATTTGTGAAAGGGGATTTCAGACCTCTTTAGTTCTGTGTATTTCTAAAACCTGGTGACTCAAAAAGTCAAGGGAAAAAAACTGTCAGACTGCCCTTTTGACAGAAATCAATCACCTTCTCTTTGCTAGAGAGAAAGGACTTGTTCACTTGAAAATGGAATAAGAAACAAGCGCGGGGCCAGGTGCGAATCTAATCTGGGCTCACGCCAAGGGGACTCACATCGTGAACTTCCTCCACGGAAATGTACGCTTCTGTGGGCAGCCCCAGGTCCTTTGGCTTCACGTCAATGATGACCAGCACCTGGCAGAGGAACACAGCTGAGCAAACCGCCGGGACTCAACACAAAAGCCGCAATCCCAGCTATTCTTCTAATCATTACTGGCGTTATTTCATTCATTTAATCAGAAATGAGACAGAACTTTCAGCACAATGAGTTTATATTTCACATTATCCCATCACTTGCTGCATTCTTCACTGCCCTCCATTAACAAGCTGAGAGGTCGTACAGAAGGGAATCAGTCAAGCAAAACACGATTTCAATCCCAGACTCCCCACCCCCAGACCCCACTCAACGCCGTGAGCCTGAGTGGATTAAGTCAGTCAAGTACTGGCAGTTAGCAGGCATTCACTGCTACTTTCTAATTAGATTACTAAACCTATTAGGTTATGGCACAGAACATTACAAGTTGATAGAGGAAAAGCAGTGAGCTGACTCACTACCCGAATCCTTCTTAGGATGCCCTTAAAAGGGCTGGTAAAAGAAACGCGTTATTCAAGAGTTGCCAATACAGACAGCACTTACTGAGTTAGGGCAGTATCTCTTCATGAGTTCATTGATGGCGATGTCATTCTTATGTAGTTTAGGGCCGGTGTGGTACCACCCAACTATTCTTTCTCTGGCTGGGAAGGAAAAAGTTAGTTAAGTGTTAGTTGTTTCCGGAAGATTTATACAACTTGCTTAAGAAGACTAAGTGTAGGGCTGGGGGTTTAGCTCAGCGGCATAAGCGTCTGCCTTGAAAGCAGGCAGTCGTGAGTTCGATCCCTGGTACCGATAAAAATGAAAAAGACAAAAAAAAAAAAAAAGAAGACTAAGTGTATCAGGAGTTAAGTCTTCTGTCTTCTTGAAAATCCAAACATTATTTTTTTGTTTGGTCTTTTTCCTTGTTTTTTTTTTTTTTTTTTTTTTTTTTGTCTTTTTCATTTTTATTGGTACCGGGGATCGAACTCATGACTGCCTGCTTGCAAGGCAGGCACTTATGCTGCTGAGCTAAATCCCCAGCCCCCATCTACTTTATTTTTAAAAAATTTATTTATTTATCTGTCTTTTTGAGACAAGGGCAACACAATGCAGCTCGGACTGGTTCTGGGCTCACTTTGTAGCCTAGGCTGGTCTTGAACTTGCAATGATCCTCCTGCCTCAGCCTCCCTAGTGCTGGGATTACAGAAGTGTGCCACCATCCCAGGCCAGACATCTACTTTAAACCTCAACATACTTGTGAAATCTAAAACTCAAAAGCAGATTCTTAGGAAATGCACAGTGTGTTAGCCAGTCATGGTGGAACACGGCTATAATTCCACTAGTCTAAGAAGCTGAGGCAGGATAGTTTGAGCCCAGGTGAGCCAACTTAAGGGAATCCAGCTTACTTTTTTTTTTTTTTTTTTTAAGGGGAAGGCACATGGTTCCATGAGAAGGCCTAGGGTTCAATCCCGAGTACTGCATAAAAAATAACAATCAAACCCCAGAGTAGTACTGCGTATGATCCAGAGATATCTGTTACCCCAGACTACTTGAAGAGACTAGTCATACATGACACAAGTGGAGAATGGTTCTCAGGCAATATATAGGCAAATGCAAGTTCACATCACATGGACGGCAACTCTGAGTGCCCAAGCAATGGAATAAAAGGGACACATGTGGGGCTGGGGATTCAGCATAAGCACCTTCCTTGCAAGCAGGCGGTCGTGAGCTCAATCCCCGGTAGCGATAAAGGGACACATGCTGCTGTTACTAAAGGTCTCGCTCTTCTTTTTTCTGCCACATTCAAAGGATGTAGGTGGACAACTGACCTTAAACTACTAGCCTCGCCTTTCACTGAATCTCATCCTTTACTGCTATCAGTCTTTCTCAAGTGTCACAGGGAAAAGGACCTTGACATTAAACGAAGAAAAGACAGAATGTATTGAAATCACACACGGCTGTCACACCACAGTAACTTTCATAAAGTCCACACTTACCATTGACTTTCTTAAACATTCCATACATGTTTTCCAAGTAATCGTGGTCTAAGAACCAGACAGAGTCGTCTTTGTCATCTTCATCAAAAGGGACTAAACAGAAAGACAAAAAATAAAAAATTAAGATTTAGTTTAGGGTGTGAGCTCCAAATCCAGAGCACAGGTCAAAAGTAGAGATCTCTAGCTCAGACCTGCCTCGCTCTTATGTATTTAATTTGTCCAACCCAATATTAAGTTTTGAACTTCCCTCATTGAATGCTAGAATGCATACAAAAATCCAGATTTCCAGTTTCTCCTAAAAATCTAGAAGACCTGGCAACTGCTGGGTAGAGGCTGTAAAAAAGGGCAAGCGCTCTTCTGCTTGCTAAAACCCCCTTCAATTTGTAACCGTTCCCTTTGGCAAATTACACTGCTGGCTGGTCCTCTTGGACACTAGAATTGGCGACCTAGTCCAGAAGCCAGCCCAGCAATTACTCTTTCATTATGGCTTCTTTGATCATAAAAGCAATATGTAGAGCAGAAAAGTAAAGTTCTTACACTTATTTGTTTACACACTGCTGCTGTGTACTCTACCAGCAGAGCAGCACAGTTACAGCACCACCACAAAGCCTGTAAATTAAAAATACCATCGTCTTGTCTAGTGGGTAGACTTTTGGTTCCCTTTACAATACTTTGGCAAGCCAGAACCTTTGGGCTGTAGTACAGAAAAAGATATATTTGTTTTTTCTTTGAGACAAGGTCTTGCCATGTAGCCTAGGCTCGCTTTAACCCCCCAAGTGCTTTGATTACAGGTGTGCACACCACGTCTGGCAATACATTTTTTTTTAAATAAAATTGACATTTTAAACATGCTCAGAAAAACGTAGTTTGTCCTTTACCTGCAAAACTGTTGGATACATCAAGTACCTTCTTTTGCCATGAGCCCAAAAGCACACCAACGACACGCTTCTGGTTTCCAACCTTGCCGATTCTGAGTGGAAAAACATGCAGATACAGATCCAAGAATGAGATACTTACAAATACCGACAGTACAGCTAGACTTTAATTTACCTGGGAACTCATCTCCCTAAACTAAATAGGGTTACGTTATCCTGCAATGCTAAGCGGAGGAGGAACTCCTGAACTGAATGCCCTGAATGCCCACGGGCCCTTTTTACCTACTACTGACTGCAAAGTAACACAAGCTTAGAAAAAAATCAAGCGATTTTTTTCCTTCGTAACTCTCCTTTTCTTCTTTATGCTTTCTTCATCTTATCCTCAAACTTCTTTAGGCATAAAGACGTTAGCAGTTTTATGCCTGGATTCCAGGGATAAGATTCCAATTCTTTTCCAGAACATCTGCCCTCTACATACAAGCCTCAGCTCACCTATCCTTTGTATAATTTAGTGTTCTGATCCAGTAGTGTAAATGTACCACCTCTTGCCTCTCTGGCTTATTAGGCAGAAATTCCCACATTACAAAAGAAACTTTTCCTGGGCTTTTATTTGGATTTACAAAAGTTCACCGGTTTTTAAACACTACATTTCTTGTGTGGTAAAACAGCTGGTAGTGTCTGCTAGCCCGAGGTTTACTAAGTGTTAGAACCGAACAGGGAGGGCGTCCTCTCTAATTAGGACTCCAGGATCTCGCGAGAGTTGTTACCTACCGGTGAGTAGAAAAGCCCACATGTCCTATTAGGCTGGGGCGTTTACAAGCAGTGGAACTGAGAGGGAACCATAAAACTTATCCATTCTTGCGTGAGTTTTTGAGTTTGGCTGAACTGAGTTGTACAAAGCATGACACAGGACAAAGGACAGCAAGCATGACTTCAAAGCCGATGCACCCGGAAGGGTCTTCACTAATTATCATGTAAAAATCTCTGAACACGTGCAACAGGTCTAGCAGGACAAACAGCTTGCAAGAGCACAGAGTGATCAACACAGCAAGCTACCAAGTGAGCTGTTGGGTCGTTTTCTCACCTTATTCATTAACGTCAAAATCTCCAACTTGTCTCATTTAAAAAAAAACAAAAAAGGAAAAAAAGCCAAACCGGCCACCTCATTTACATTTTGCTATCGTCAAATCAGATTCTCTTACACAAAGGATCATGGGTTGATAGCACCGCCCATACAGGAAATCACTCGGCGTGCTGAGCGCGGTATTGTGGGACATCGTTAGGTCGGTCAGAATTTCGGTATTCGGAATATTGGTATTTCAGAATATCGAATATCTGTATTTTACAATATCGTAACATCGGTAATTCGCAAATTCAGCATTTCAGAATTCCCAAATACTGGTGTTTCGGTGACCACCATCAGGCGCGCAAGTGGGAGAGTGCATCGCTTTCCCACGATAACAACGTCGTCGTTAAGTACGAGGGTGGGCCCGGCGGCGGGAGAGTGCATCGCTTTCCCACGGTAACAACGTCCGATAACAACATCGTTAAGTGCGAGGGTGGGCCCGGCGGCGGATGAGCGCGAGCCTGGCTCCCCATGCAACAGCAGCATGCAATTTCGGATAACGAGCACGCAGTCCGGGCGTCAGAATGGCGGCTGGGACGGGGGCGGCTCCGGGTCACTCGGCTTCACCAGCCGAGACTGATCTGTGCCCGTCTGGGCTGCTCGCCGCCCTGCCTGCGTCCCCAGCCCGCCCGCCGCCGCGCGGTCCCCAGCATGCTTGTGACTCAGCAACCTGGGGCCGCCGGCCCAGCTACGCCGCCCCGCGCTGCCAGCCTCACCGGTTGAAATGATCGACCACACTGAGCAGAACCAGGGGGTGGACCACCACCTTCTGCACAGCTAGTTCGGGCATTGCGGCCCCGCCCTCCTGGCTCAGCTTCCAGCGACCGGCGAAACGCCGTTAAACGTAGTTTTCCAACGTTGTAATGTACCAGCGAAAAATACGGTCTTCAAACGTTACGGTCGAAGGCACTTCGGACCAGATCTTCCGTTTCCGGTTTGGCAGCCGCAGCTCGGCAGTTTTCAGCTCCCAGAGTTCTTCGCGCGACATGCCCACACTGTCGCTTGGGCTGCCATCTTGAGGAAGGGAAAGGGTTGCTAAAAGATCGGGTTGTATTGGGTTCCAAGCTTTGCGGTTTGCTTAGGGTTGAAAGCCAGAGGGACCCTGGAGCTTGCTAAGGATTGATTTGGCAGTGCCTTAGCAGCGGCTTTTCTTCTCTGTTCATCCTTGTCTTCCATTCCTTTTCCTCTGAAAACTAGAAAAATGTTCAGAAAACCGTAAATAATAATAATTTACTATTTCAGAAAATGTTCACGTTGGCTTTAAGTCAAAGTCGTTCAGGGTGTTTTAGAGACTTTTTCAGCAGTGTTTGTTTTTGGATGTCCTGGGCATCCAACCCAGGGCCTTGTGACTGCTCTATCACTGAGCTACGGCCCACCCCCTTTCACAGAAACTTTTAATGTTTAACTTCAGAAATGCTTTTAGTGCAGATTTGAGTAATTTATCGTGTAACTTTCACTGTCAAGGAATTTTCTCATGATCTTTACTGTATATGGTGCAAATAATGTACAAGGCAGCCTGCAGATTTCTCCTTGTTAACTTGCTGTGTAGTCAGGGCCAGTGGAATGTAATTTGCCAGACTACATAGGTTGCTTTTTGAAACTTAGGGAGTGAAGCAAAGATGGGAAACAGAAGCTGTGATTTTATATTTTGCTGGAAAAAGAAACAGGAAGACTGAGGTAGAAAATGTAACAAAGTCTTAATCTTATTTGCAGAAGGAGAGAAATTACATTGTTCAACACAGGTTTGTATTGTCTTGTTTAAACACTGTGTTTCTGATAGCAAAAACAATAAAGAATTTCTGCAATGTGAATTACTTTATTTTGTCTTGTCTTTATCTAGGCTGTACCTTCCCTCTATTACCACAGGACTTCCCCTAGTATTTTGGCTTCTTTCAAAGTAGACTCCTGATCTTTAAATGCCAAGGAGCACAGACAATTTCTCTTGCTTTTTTTTTTTTTTTTGTCTTTTTCCTTTTTATTGGTACCAGGGATGGAACTCACGACTGCCTGCTTGCAACGTAGCCGCTGAGCTAAATCTCCAGCCCCCTTCTCTTGCATTTTTACATGTGTGTGTGTTTTGGTGGTGGTGAAAAACATGAGGACAAGACTGGAAGTTGGACACCAATGATGACATTAATGTCAGGATTTTTCATGTGTCTGTATTAAAAAATATCCATGTCTTCTGTCTGCAGGTTGACTTTCTGCTCTGTCCATAAGAAAGTAATGGCTGGATGTACTCATTCTTATTCAGCATTAATTAGAAACTCAATGCTATGTTTAACAAGAAAATACAAGAATTAATTTTAGGGAAAGGAAACCAAGAATTACTGAACCTGTCTATTGCATGGCAACAATATGCCAGTACATCTAAGTATTCAGAAAGAGTTCATTCCTTTAATTAATGCTTCCCAAACTGTGATATGCTTACAAATCACCTGAGACATTATTGAAATACAGATTTCGATCCTGTAGGCCTGGCGTGGGACCTACCAAGCTTTCAGGTGAGGCCATGGTTGTTGTTCAGATGTCCCTCCCATGAGATCACTTTATTTAAAATTCCACGTTTCTCCTGCTACTTGTTTCTGCTTTAGTTCTTTCTGAACGATTTGCCACTTTTGAACACACTGAGAATTTACCGATTGTTTGTTGTCCTTTTTTTTCCTTATGACAAGGTAAGCTCTTGTTCAGTTCACTTTTTATATCTGCAGTGTGTTGAAAAGCACCTGGCCCACACTAGTGATCGCGTGACTGGATAATTAATACATGACTGAAGCAGAATACAACAGTGAGACTCAGACACCGGAGAGGATCTTTGAATGATCCCATAGCAGGCTTCTGTGTTCCCATTTCTCTCTGAAGTGGTGACGCTGAATTTCAAGCCTTAAAAATGATTATGTTGGATTTCACTCGGGTTTATATTGCAGCTGGAGATCTAGCTCTTTAGAAGCATCTTGGTGGTATCCAATCTTGACTCATTTGAAGCAGTGTAACATTGACTTTGAACTGTGGAATTGTGGAAAATTGGAATGTTTGGGTAAACAAAAATAAAAATAAATTACAATCACTTAAAACTTCTCCACATAGAGAAATCCAGTACTGTCAGTGGTCTAAAATGCTTGATCTCATCTTGCAACTACGTTGTTGTTAACTTCCTAGTTGGGCTTCCTTTTCTGGTTTGGCCCTCCTCAGTGATGGGGACCATTACAAAAGGCTCTGAGCAGGATTTGAAATTGATCAGTTGGCTTTTTATGTTTACTTGTGGGCCTGTCCAAGGCCTATGCCCTTTTGTCTGGAGATGGGCAGTGGATTCATAGTAAGTGAACTTCTCTGAATCACTGGTTCCAGGGGAGGCCTGTAGTGCCTTGTCATGCTGTGATACCTCAAAGGCTAAAATAAAGCCACAGCTGAGAACGCCTGGATCCCCAGTTACCTAAATAAAGACTGTAGCTGCAGGCATCTCCTGCAGTGAAGTCAATCTGGAGATAAGCTAGTTCTCTGAAATTAATGTAATTCATTATGGTCCTGCTCAGTTTCTTTTCTTTATTTTTTTTATCTTTTTGAGACAGGGTCTCTTTATGCAGTTCAGGCTGGTCTTAAACTCACAACGATGTGAGTGCTGGGATTACAGGGTTGAGCCACCACGCCTGGCTATTTCCCGAGTTTTCTACTCTTAAACCCTCCCCTTAATCAAAAACCTAATAAATGTGTTCCCCAGAGAAGTTCTCTGTCTCAGCCGCCAGGGAATCTTGAATTCTTCTAGAGGGTTTTGATCTTCCTGGATTTAAGCCTCTGCCATCCACTTGTTTGTGAGGGTGTGGGCCTGATCAGTCTGATATGACAACGTCTTCCTTGAAGTGCCACCCTGCTGCTTGGAGCCAGCTAAGTATGGACTGAAACCTCCAAAATTGTAAGGAATAAACCTTTCCTTCTTTCATGGTGGGTGTTGGGTATTTTGTCTCAGCAACAAGAGTGAGGAGTAACTAAGACAAGCCTCTCTTATGGGACAGTACCAGCTCAAGAGCTATTCCGTGGGTAAGAAAGATCCCTAAGGTGAGTGGCAGTTTGGGAAACTCATGTGAGTGTAGAGAAAGAAACTGGAGCAGCTACCTAAAAAAGGATAAATTTTTGACACGTCAGGTATCATTTCTTAGAAGCTTCATCCTTCTCTACTCCTGAGAAGGTAACAGAAAAGAGCACGGATCATAAGATGTGAGTTCTGCCCTGTTTTAACCGGCTACCCAGTTCCCTTCGCCGCCTTGCTGTTCTGTGAAGCGCCGACCCCTCCCCACCCGAACTGCTCCATAAAACATGATCAAATTGTTTGTTCTGATGGAGACATCTGTGCCAAGAAATGACCCACCACAAAAAACCACAACCTTATACTTATGTTAAAAACATGTTATGTACGTGCAAAGTCCCCAGGTCAAGCTATACCCAAAAGTATGCTTGAGAGCTTTCCAAAGGACACCCACTGGCACAATGCCCCCCCTTACTTTGCGGTTTTTGCCTTCAAAAGTTTTAGACTCCTTCGCTCGGGGTGCTCAGTCTAGCAACTGCCTGACACCGCTGGGTACCAGCTAAAATAAAGCGCTTCTCTTTTTCTATTTTTTCTGTCTTGTTGTTTTTGAGAGTTGCTGACGGGGCATTAGGGGCAGGGGTCCACTCTTGGAGTCTTGGGGTGCCACATGCCTTTCCTATTTACTGGCTATGTTATTTTTGCATTTATTTATTTATGTCTTTTTGAGACAGGGTCTCGCTATGCAGTTCAGGCTGGCCTTGAGCTCACTTTGTAGCCCAAGCTGGCCTTGAACTTGCAACGCTTTCTGCGTTAGCCTCTCAAGTGCTGGGATTACAGGCGTATCCACCACGCCCAGTTATGTTTTTTTATTTTTTAATTCATTAATTAGCTAATTAATTTTTTTTTTGTCTTTTTGAGATAGGGTTTTACTATGCAGTTCAAACAGGTCTTGAACTCACCTTGTAGCCCAGGCTGGCCTCAAATGATAACAATCTTCCTGCTTCAGCCTTTGAAGGATTACAGGCATGTGCTGCCATGCCTGGTTTATTTTTAAATAAATGACTTAATCTTTGTGTCTCAATTGCTTCCTTAATAAGAGAGGGCTGATAAGAGTGCCTGATGCCCAGGGAGGAGAGCCAAGGATGGGGCAATGGTTGTGCTGTGCTGAGCAGAGAGTTTAGGTAGAAAAACAAGAAAAGAGAGAGTGCAGTTGAGTGCCGTGGGGTCAGCTGCCGAGGTTCTTGGAGTCAAGGAGGGCGAGAGGATGAGAAAATACAGAAGAGCCAATGCTGGGGGCAGGTGGAGCCCTTACCCTCCTGATGGGAGGAAACAACTGCTCCTCACTGCAGGGGTGTTTATTTATACCTTTTAGCAACTTACTGTCACGTGACACCCCGTTGCCCTAGCAACCCACTCTTCAGATTGTTTTGGGGCCAGGTGTTCCTGGGCTGAAGCAGCAGGTGCTCTTTGTTCTTGGAATGATCATGCTCTAGCCTTGCACGTGTGGTCAATTTCCAGCATCAATGGCTCCCAACAGTTGAGCATCCTTAATCTACAAATCTAAAATCTGAAATATTCCAAAATCTGGAACTTTTTGAGTGCTGACATGATACAACAATTAGATGATTTTACACCATGAAACTTTGTTTCAGGAATACATTGTTCAATACAATTCAATACAATTCAATATAATTCAATACAATTATTGAAAATAAATGTATAAAATAAACTTCAGGCTACATGTATAAGGTGTGTACAAACATAAATGAATTTTGTGTTCAGTCTTGGATCCCACCTGAAGATACGTATCTCACTATGCATGTGCAAATATTGTGAAATCCAGAAAAATCCAAAATCCGAAACACATCTAGTCCCAAGCATTTTGAATAAGAGATACTCGATCTGTAGTGAGAAATAAAGCTTA